AATAGTTTCGTTAGGTTGAAAAATATTTACCAGTAACTACCAGTAAACAATGGAAACAACGCACCAACGCATCACCAGCTGTGAGTGTCGGTACAGCTGCCAGGGAAGATCTCTTGCGTCATCATAGCAAGCCCAAAGTAGCCAAATCCATGGTATGGTAGCACAGGACGATGTAAAACATAAAGTATTCATTTTTTAAAGTTTATTTATAGATACTGTACATAAATTTTTGTTCATTATATTTGAAACATCAATCTTTGTTCATTAAATTTGAAACAAAAGAAAACTACGATGCCGTATTTTCATTAAAATATTATATCACAAGTATATTTTACCTTAACTGTGACTGAATGAATATATTCTCAGAAATAAATATGGAAATGTAATATTTTGGCTGAAATGACGTTCATATTACAGTGGAAAGTGGGATAAATTCATGACGAAAACAATGACTTTCTCTTTCTTTCGTTGTTCAAAAGATTTTAACGTAATCGCTTTTCGAATGGTTTTCAGTTAAAAAACTGTTGTACTGTATTACAATAATATTCTATCCTATCATTAGCCTCATAATCCCACAACTGAAAACCATTTGAAAAGCGATTACAGTAACATCTTTTGAACGAAAGAAAGCGAAAGTCATTGTTTCGTCACAATTTTATCCCACTTTCCACTGTAATACATACGTCATTTCAGCAAAAATATTACATTTCCATATTCTCAGAAATAAATACAGTCAACCCTCACTTTACGCGGTCCCACATTCCGCGTTTCCACGTTTACGCGGTGCCCTGCCGGAACCCAGGATGCTCACATTCCGCGGTGCGTGTACCCCTTTATGTGGAGAGCGGCTGGCAAGCCGCGCCATTTTTGGATCCAAACCTCCCGCCATCCGCCATGTTGTGTAAGCAGTGCGAACATGGTGCGCACAAGGTCGCCCAGTCATCAAAACATTACCAGTTCTTCACCCGCCACCCACCACAGCCGGCCCAAGTCATTGATAGTGATAATTATGGTGAGGATATGGACTTATATGGACTTTGGGGGGTTTGACAAAGAGGCCCTGCAAGCCTCTGTGGTGGATAGTGATACAAGTGATACAGGTGAGGGCCAATAATCTGCCCTCTGCCTCGGAACCAACCGCCCATCCCCGTGTGCCCAGCCATCTTTTCTACTAATGTAAGTGTTAAAAAACCTAATATTATTGATATTTCTCTTAATTATTAATTGTGTGTGCAGAACATCATAAAGTTAAGATAATATTTGTACTACAACATAGTTGTGTGTCATCAAAAAGTGGAGTTTGGGGGTCGGCCCGGTCTCTATTTCAATTAATCCCATATGTTATGTTATTTACTTTACGCGTTTCTCACTTTCCACGGTACCCTGTGGGTTACATTAACCGCGTAAAGTGAGGGTTGACTGTAGTAGTTTTGTTGAAACGTAATGTACAGTATTTAATATTAAAATGCAAAAAGAGCTATAAAAACAATTACAGTGACCCCTCCATTAACGAACTCATTCCGTTCCAGAAGGTCGTTCGTTAACCGAAAAGTTCGTTAACCGAAACCATTGTTTCAATGGGTTTTTGGGTAATTGGTTCCAGCTCACCGAAAATTTCCTAAATTCAACAAAAATGGTAGAAAAGTTCACTTACTTTGAGGTGTGTATGTAGAAGGCTCCTGGATGATGATGATGATGATGATGGGATTTAGAATGGGGTGGAGGAGAAGGAAGAAGAGAAGGCATTGGGGTGGAAGAGAAGTCACCCCATGGCGCCATTTCACCCATAAAATTTTAGCTCTCTGGTGTAATTCAAGATTATTTTCTTTAAATCAACACTGCACTGCATTATATATTGTCAATATGTAAAATATATTTCAAAATGACCAATAATTTGCTTGGAAACACAGAAAAAAAGCGGTTAGTTGAAGAGTCTCAAGCAAGATGTTACCTCCAGTGAAAACAGAGAGAGGCTAACTCCTGTTTGCTGTGTTAAGAGGCTGGATGCCGCACATTAAACTAGTCACTTTACCTTCAATTATGTTCAATAATTGTTAAAATGACTAAAAAATTAAATATTAAACTTTTAAAATTATTGAATAGTATAAACTTCTTGATATTTACTAAAATAGTAAGGAATTTAAGCCCTAGAACCGATTAATGTATTGACGGACTGATACTAAAGCTGGTTGCCCGGTCAGTGCAAGCGAAAACATGTTGAGGTCGGTTCGTAAGAACTTCATTAACCGAATTTTTTTCGTTAACTGAATTGAAGATCCTTATAGAAGGCAGTTCGTTAATCGAAATTACGTTAACCGAGGCGTTCGTTAAACGAGGGGTCACTGTAATATTGTACACCCATAATGTACTGGCTGGCATCTCCACTCGTCCCTGCCCGCCAGTCACTACTCCTCCCCGCTCTATCCCTCCGCCTCCTCCACATCGTCACTACTGTTGTATTACAATAATATTCTATCCTAATTCACTTGAATAAATACTACGATACCATATTTCTGGATATTTTCATTAAAATCCATCAAAATCATTTTCCTTGTCATCGTCTTCAGCACCAAAAAGCTCCTCCCAGTCTTCTCCTTGAACAGGGCTAGAGGGTACATGTTTTTCTAATCGTTTTCAGTTAAAAAACTGTTACATCACATGTATATTTTACCTAAACTGCACCTGAATGAATATATTCTCAGAAATAAAGAGTAGTTTTGCTGAAACGTGATGTATTTCAATGTAAAATAGGATAAAATACATGACGAAAACAAAAGACTTTACTTAACCTTCCGATGTTCAAGAGATGTTACTCATTTTTTTAATAGTTTTCGGTTAAAATACTGTTATATTATAAGGATATTATATTCATACTGTGCTTAATATACTACATTCACGGAAATGTAATATTTTTGCTGAAATGACGTACGCATTACAGTGGAAAGTGGGATAAAATCCTGATGAAAACAATGACTTTCGCTTTCTTTCGTTCAAAAGATGTTACCGTAATCCCTTTTCGAATCGTTTTCAGTTAAAAAACTGTTGCATCACAAGTGAATTAGGATAAAATATTATTGTAATACAACAGTTTTTTAACTGAAAACCATTCGAAAAGCGATTACGGTAACATGTTTTGAACGGAAGAAAGCGAAAGTCATTGCTTTCATCCCTTTTCACTGTAATACGTACGTCATTTCAGCAAAAATATTACATTTCCATATTCTCAGAAACAAATAGTAGTTTTGCTGAAACGTAATGTATTTCAATGTAAATTAGGATAAACTACATGAAAACAAAAGACTTTACCTAACCTTCCGATGTTCAAGATATGTTACTCGTTTTTTTAATAGTTTTCGGTTAAAATACTGTTATATTAGTGATATTCTATTCATACTGTGCTTGATATAATACATTCACGGAAATGTAATATTTTTGCAACTACAATGCTGATGTCAACACAAGCGTGGTCACAGCGAGACTGACTGAGTGAGGGAGAGCTATGCGTGTGTGAGGTAACGGGAGCGGGCGGTGTGCAGTGTTCGGTGCCGCGTGCGATTTGAATGGTGCATGGCGCGCAATTTGAATGTACTTCAATTACTTCAATGTACAGAATATTCCTCCGGCGGGGCAATCCACGTATTTGCGAATCCGTGAATGCTAAATCCGCGTACGTGAAGGGCCGACTGTACAGTATTCTCGTCCTGCCAACTCAGAATATGGAACGCATCACTCACTTCATTTGGCATCTGGTGAACTACAGGTCAGTAACATGAAATCCACTAATCCTCCACAGCTCCATACGAGTGGAAAATACCAGATTTTGCTGTAACACACAGCTTAATTAATGAGATGTCTCGCATGCCCGTATCATATTGATTATATTTTTTTTTAAATATATTTATTTAACCAAACTTTTAGATAAAATATTCGGGATAATTCTAGAACAGAAATGGAGTTTCTAACTTAATTAGAATGCATTTACAGACTCTGGTATCAACATTTCTTACGTTTTTTTTTCATAAAGGAATGGAGTCACCATCATTATATGATGCTGAAATATATTAGTTAAGGATCTTTTATTGGAAATGTCTTGTAGAGAATTTATTCAGGATCATTATGGTATCAAATTCATCTCTCTAACACAATTAGAACAGATGCAGTGACTAAAAGTTAAGAGTTTTTTGCTAGCTGTAAATATTTTCACTCTTGCCTGCACTCTAGATGTAATGGGATTGTGTTTTTGCATGCAAGATGAGATCATGAGATGTATAGTTTAGAGTCAAGGTGAGATGCACAGTTTGGAGTTCAGATGAGATGCATAGTTTGGAGTCGAGATGAGATGCATAGTCGAGATGAGATGCATAGAGTCGAGATGCATAGATCGAGATTAGATGCATAATTTGGAGTCGAAATGAGAGGCATAATTTAGAGTCGACATGAGATGCACAGTTGACAGTCAAGATGGGATGTGTAGTATAGACTCTTGGAAAACTTTCCCCAGCTCCCAGAAATATTCTGGGAATGTGGACTAGTGTCTGTCTGTGCAAGATGCGCTGCTTAGATTCTCGGAAACTTTTCCCAATACTATAACTGGAAATATTCCTGGGATGTAGGATTTTTCCGTGTTTGAGAGAGCGGTCTCATTACCCGGAATACCACTGTAATAAAAAAGATCCAAAACCCTGCTGCTAGCTTTTAATATTGTATGGATAAAAAGTTGGCAGTCAATTTTGCAGTGGTGCATTTTCATGAGAAAAAAAAAAGAGTTCAACTGAACTCCCCCCTTTGATCTGCCATAGATTCAGAAACACCTAAACAACAGCATTTCTTCTCAAAACTCCTGAAAATAGTCTAATTTTGTGAATCTCCTGTCGATGCTGAATTAACTCGGTGTTCCCTATTTAACAGAGCATTGCACTGCTCAATACTATAACCTTCTCTCACCCCCCAAAAATAACATTGCAAAAATTATGCAAATTAAAATCACAGTTCAGACTCACCTTCAACCCATAACCAGATTCATTTAGAATTTCTGGAGCAACATATGTAGGTGTACCACATACTGTGTATAATGGTTCGGTCACCTCCACAGCCAAGCCAAAGTCTCCCAGCTTCAGGCTCTTACTACCTTCACTCCGCTCCACCACCTGAAAAGTAATATCATACTCTTTTTACTGGAAATTTCATTTTTTTTTTTTTAACACATCAATATATTTTCAAATGTACAACAGGTCTCACATTATCTACCTTCCACAATATCGGTACACTACAAAAATTTTCATGTTTTTCACACTAATGAAGACCTTCGAGCATGTCCGCACAACACAAACTGGTGCTCACTGACAGCCACAAGTAAAGAACAATGACATTATGCACCATTTTTTTTTACTATTACTTGAACTATATCAAGATGTGTACTCATAAGCAGCATGTAGTCCTCTATGATTGCATGGGCCTCCTACCTGCTCAGCTATTTCATTACATGTAGAGTAGCTAAAACAACGATCTGTGCATACTTTGTGGGAAACAATATCAGACCATGGACAATAAATTTTGGTATATGAGGGCAGTTACTAGTCATACGTAAAATTTCGGAGCATATCAACCCCCCACCTGCACAGATAGTTGTTTTGGCTACTGTACAGGTACATGAAAGTGATCATAAAGGAGAGTGGAGTGTACTGTACTTGCAATCATTTATGTCATCAGATACATGCTCATCTCTTACAAGTCCTTGGCAACCAATATAATAAACTTTATAATATAAAATTAGAGTTAATTTTACTGTGTGTGACAGTGGAAACACAATTTTTTCAATTTAGACACCTTTACTAAAATAGTGATTTTTCTTTTTACTCATGAGATGGGAACATTAGGTTTTAAGTGAAATAATTGTATTCTATTCTCTGTCATTGTGCCAAAGAATAATAAAGGTTTATGTCACCTACTATTTAACATTATAATTTTCTTTCAGAGTACTGTACATATCTGTCATCTATCAGTCCTCATCAATACAGATATTGCAGGTTCTATTATATTTCCTCAACAGATTGTTAACTCTCCTTTCTCATGTCAAAAATGTAATTAATTCTCTTGGAGGATATGTAAAAATTTCCTTAATTGCTGTACAGTAATACCTCGGTTTATGCGGGTTTCGTTTACGCGTTTTGTCATTTACGCGGTACGCTGCCAGAACCGGAATGCCCAATTTACACGGTGCATTTACTCATATACGTGGAGAGAGGCTGGTGGTCCTGCCATGCCACCAATCTTGGATTCAAACCTTGATTTTTTCTAACCTAACCTAACCTTACATAAGTGTTAAACCTTGATTTTTCTTTTACCTGGTACAGTATATTATTCTCTTATTGCTATTTCTCTTCTATATTATGTGTGTGTGCATACCATCATAAAGTTATGGCTACTATTTTTATTACAACGTAGGTATTGTGTCTGAAAAAGTGGAGTCTGGGGGTCGGCCCAGTCTCTATTTCAATTAATCCCATATGTTCTGTCATTCCATTTACGCGTTTCTCTTTTTACGCGCTACTCCGCGAGTTCAATTGACCGCGTAAATCGGGGTATTACTGTATTTATAAAGTACCTGTATGGCTGCATATGATGAAATCACATAAGATATTCATTGCGCATCACAATGGCCGGATTAATTTAAAATCCACTTAGCAGGAGACATAAAATATAGGTAACCCTCTCTTTATGAACAATTGAGATGCAAAAATTTCCTTATACAAATTTCATAAATTAACAACTCCTTTTTATTTAACGAAAGCTAATCTCACTTATACGAATTTTGGTCCAGGCAAAATTTCAAATCACGCCCCCCAGGGAGTCAGCTGGGGCACTTTGGGGCAACCATATTCGAGAGATGAGCAGAGACGTATTCGTGCTCACTGATCATAACCCCCTCCTCTTGCATCTCCCTCCAGCCCGTGCTTTTCATTCCACCATTTCCCACCCTTTGTGGTGAGCCCTGATTGACCCCCCCACCCTCTTAAGGTAATTGCTCATGCCATTCAGTTCATTTGTTTGAATCACAGTTGACGGTGGTGGAGTGCTTTTTTTACATGTCACTACCCACTACCTCCTGGCTCTCTCCCTAGCAGGCCAATGTGTGAACTCTGTTATGGTTATTATTCAACTCACAAATTCGGGTAGCTAGAGTACTATCTTTGTTAGCCGGAATCCCTCAAACCTGGAACTGTCTGATAGCTGGAATTGAAATTTGCTGGGAAAATCATTCCCAATGCCGGAATTTTCACAAAATTTCCGGCTTTGGGAAAAAATTTTCTGAGGTTGAAAATCGAGAGTATTTCTGGAAAATATCTTGAATAAAGACAAAAGTTAAAGTATTTTTGTAGGGACCTGACCTGACTTCACCTGAGTCAACGTCAGGTGGACGTAGGGTGAGGGATTAGTGGTCTCATATTACTATCCTTCTGATGGAATGTCAGGTTACCCTTTCTTGGGTGGGGGATTAGTGGGTCTCATGACCTGAAGATGTCTTGAATAAACATGAAACCTAAAGCATTTTTAGGGAGATTGTGATAAGTATAAGTATAACTGAACAAAGTTGTATCCCTTCAACATTACATTACATAAAATTTTAAAATATGGAGTGAGAAAGTAGAAAGGTGTGGGTGATTAGAGAGATGGAGTGGAAAGGAGTATAACATGTACCAGTGTTGCCAAGTGATAAGCTCCTCAACAGCTAATCTTTTAATTCACCTCCATGCAGTCACACAACAAGACCCTCACTGGCTGCTTGTTGTCTTAATCTGAGTGCGTGCGTGCGTGTGTGTGTGTAAAAATAATAATCATAATAATAATTGCAAAATGGTTGTTTGATTACTCTGCTGCATCACCATTAGTGAGATGCTAAGGAACAGGAGGGGGTGTGTCATATTGTTTAGTCCACAAAGTTCTTTAAGCTTATCATACCACTGACTGATGTTGGTATACTTCAGGTATTGCAACTGGATGGGTAGTGGGACTTCTTTGTAGTGCATATTTCACGGATGACTTGGTTGCGAAAGGACCTGTAGCGGTTGTGGTCATTGAGATAAAAGGGCAAGTCAGCTGGGTATTATCTGATGGACTTCTCAGGAAGAAGTGGTGGTGAGCTTCCATGGTGGTGTTGGTATAATTTATCCATTTGGAGTTTTTTCCGGGTTTGAGAGATGAAGATCGGGCGCATTTTCTGGAAATTCCGAGAAAATTTTTCCGTTACCCGGAAAATTCCGGGGATGAGGATTTTTTTCTGGCTTTGAGAGAGTCATCTCGTTACCCGGAAATCTCTCATTCCCGTAAGTGCTCTACACCAATTGATCTGGCTAATGGGGATGGTGAACTATCCACTACCCGAAAAGATGCACTGCAGTCAGTAATAGGTCTGTAGGTCTTGATGTAAGGTCTCTGCACTTGACTGGTAGTGAAAGCTGGAGATCAGAACACTGACAGGTGTGTGCTGCGCCCAATAGAAGTAGGTGTGCGAGCGTGCATGCGTGCGTATTAGCCCTGCCTGTCTAATAGACAGAAGTACTTATATAAATATGGGTAAATACATCAGTTTTATATAAATCCATCACCCCCGTAATTTCCATGAGCAGTGAGTGTCATACATGCATCATGTGATCAGTAATTTCCCACTGGCGAGGTAGCATCTCTAAGGATGCTAACTCAGTTCCCCTGAGCCGGCTTACAGCAAGTTACCACTCAATCCTCACGATTGATAGACGTGTGACATAAAAGCTTATCCCAAACAAGCTTCCGTCCTTCCATAACACTCACAGCTTATAGTGTTAATTACGGTGATATCCTTGTTGAGTGTAAACAGTTTATTCTTCTAAATAAATGGAGAAAAGACCATTTGGGTTTTGCAAACTTAACCCATGAACAATTTAAATGTAGCTCCCAAGTTACCTCTCATCAGCCAAGCTCAGGTAACTGGAAACAGGCTACATGTGCATGTGGCGTGTGTGTGTGTGTGTGTGTGTGTGTGTGTGTGTGTGTGTGTGTGTGTGTGTGTGTGTGTGTGTGTGTGTGTGTGTGTGTGTGTGTGTGTGTGTGTGTGTGTGTGTGTGTGTGTGTGTGTGTGTGTGTGTGTGTGTGTGTGTGTGTGTGTGTGTGTGTGTGTGTGTGTGTGTGTGTGTGTGTGTGTGTGTGTGTGTGTGTGTGTGTGTGTGTGTGTGTGTGTGTGTGTGTGTGTGTGTGTGTGTGTGTGTGTGTGTGTGTGTGTGTGTGCCAAACATTCAAAGAAATAGTGTTGAGCTTGCCAAGCACATTGTAGAATTCAAAGAAGTTCATGAAGAGTTTGATCAGGAGTCAGGTGGTGAGGTGATGTACCAAGACACTTACACACATTAACAGCACTACTAAATCATTGTCTTACACCATTTTACTTTACAATTTTTTTTTGAAATTAATTAATACATGATGGCTCGATTTGGCTACTTTTGCACTAGGAAAACTGACCAATGAATAAACCAGGGCATATGGAGATGCATTATACACGAGTGACGTCATGGCGACCTGTGGTGTAATGGTCAGCATGCTCACCTCGCAAGCAGGCGGACAAGGGTTCGATCCCCGAGCAGGGTGAAATTATAGGCAAGTTTCTTTACGCCATTTGCCCAGCAGTAATTGGGAACCTGGATGTTAATCGATTTGTGGATTGTATTCTGGGGTAATGGTTAGCCAGTGTAGTTGGGGGAGTTGTCCTGTCTTCTCAGACTATTCCTTGACACTGAGTCATGCAGCTCGTTAACTCAGGGTGTGGCTGCAGTGTTGGCGACAGCTTCTACACCTTAAAACAAATTCATGCCGAGGTGGCCCTTCGGCCGGCCATCCTCATTACGTGAGGGGCAACCATTAGTGATGTCATGAAGCTTTGCAACTGCAACCACAACTGCTGAGCAAACCACATAAATTATCACGACCTGTACTCAAATGTATTAAGTTAATTACAGTATTACCCCGCCTAACGCGGTTTCACTTAACGCGTTTTATCATATACGCGGTGCCTCGCCAGAGCTGAACTTTCACTTAACACGGATTTTTTCCACATATACGCGGTGAGTGTCCGGCTCGAGACGCTATTTTTAGATTTGCCCCACCCTGCCTGACTGCC